ACTGCATATTATTGATGGCTCGGCGTCATGGCTCACCACTCTGCCTTATTGGCATTCAGCTGGCGCTGTGCAATATAGGTAATTGAATTTAAACAGTCCGTTTCTGAAGTGGCACGGCCATATAGCTCCGTGACAGATTTACGGAAAATATTAAGGGTTCCGTGAACTTAAATTAATTTACTCTTAGATGATGCTTTTATTATTGAATAAAAAATGACGTCTTGTTAAATTTTCACATGTTACAATGTTATCTAGAGTGTACCTTAGTTTGAAATTTAAAAGCTGGAACTGAATCTATCTATTATAAAAATGCAACGCTTATAATTTTGTTATATCTATTCATAGTGTTTATTAGACCTTATAAGACAGATAAATTGTGGTATATTCACTTTTTGGAATATTTTATACGAAGGTCCAAAACGATGCCTCCGACACAAATAAATGTAAATTTAGAGACAACTGCAAAGAGAAATAACCTTATAAAAATTAAATTTTTCATAAGTATTACCTATGAACCTATTTTAACCTAACCTATGAAAAATTTTGGTAACAATTTATGAAAAACCATCCTACGCACTAATAGAATTATATGTAATTAAAATCGATATATTTATAAAATCGCTCATTCAAATAATAATAAAATGAAGTTTTCCGCGGATTCCTAATAAAGTAGACCAATGGTGCGAGCACGTTTGAATATGGAACAGAGGCATTGAAGCAAGACGGTGCGCGCGCGCAGTGTATTCGTAAACGCTTTTCGTTTTCACATGTTATAGTTACATTACTAAGTTTGGAAATTTTGGTTAGCCGCGTACTAGTATGAAACTTTCTGATCTGAGCATCATAATGATCGGAGAGCCAGTTTGCGTAGTTATATTTTGTCCAATTGAACTTAATAAAATGATAACCAAGTTTAGTTGAAATTATTTATTTTTATTTATTTATTTATTCATTAGTACAAATATGTGTACATGGCAGACTTAATGCTAAAAGCGTTCTCTCCCAGTCAACCATAGGGAAGTGTCAGAATACTCGAATGCGGTACTACTAATTATTGATATACATAAATACTAAAATTACACAAATATATTTACACATATATGATATATACTATATTATATACGAAATTGAGAATAATATAAAGCACTTATCATTATAATTATCATTGCAGAATCACTATATATTGTATTGAATTTGTAAAAACTCGAAGCCTTAATCGAAACATACAATAAATGTAATGTGTGAAACAATGTGAAAACTATATTAATTCATACATCGATCCGTCCATATGCTTTAAATTCGTTATTCCATCTAAGCATCTTTACAGTCTTTAAAGAAAAAAGGCGTAACATAAAATGTTTGTGTAAGAACAATATTTTGCAAAAATAAACGACTACCATGAATAGTTTACGTAATAACAAACAAGTTGTAATTTGCTGTCCAAATTTCAGTTTAAGATGTTGGTAATTGGTCGTTAGCAATTGTGCAATTCTTCTAATGAACTGTCAGATGATAATTTGACTAGGCACTTTAGATTTGACTTTTGTAATTTACTCGGGCACTATTTCTACAGTGAAGCTAACGACGCATGCGTTATGTTTCGGTTTGAAGATGTTGATCTTTTATAATGATAGTTGCCATTTTCCATCGTTGACCCGCACGCACCATCTTTTATAGTAGCAGATATCTACTTCATTCATTACCATCATTCATCTTAATTTATATCAATTATATGGTATGTAGATAGATATATAATTTATTTGCATCACTTACACATACAAATAACATCAAACATAGATAAGATACTAAAAAAAATATACAAAAATCAAAAGGAAATTATATAAAAGATGTAACATAATTTTTCGTGAGTGTGCTGTGTACCTATAAAAATAAATGTATAAAAAAAATAAATGACATCGCAGTAAAAACATTTAACACCTGAATATTATTGTTTTTTTTTTACTATATTCAGGGCAATTTCTTTCTGTGAACAATCAGGTTATGGAATAAACTGCCGACGTTCTGTCTAAAGAAGAGGCTATAGCATGAGGTTTTCAAATCGGAAAACGAAAATTAAAAGGCAAAACCGAAAACATGAAATTGAAAACTCAGTCTCTCAGGAACTATGCTAAACAACAAGTAAAGCCATTAGTATTCAGTTATCATAACACCAAATCACTAAGACTGCAATAAAGCACTAATTGGTATCGCGTATAACCTTAATTTTAACATAAATAGTCAACAAAAGCGTGTGATGTGAACCAGACGGTTACACAACCATCTCGAGTCTATTGTTTTCTTACTTTTGTGTTCCCACAACTATACAAATGTCTGAAAACTAGTCTAACATAAGAATTTTGACTAAAACAGTGGCATAAACTGAATGGGAAAAAATTCGCATCATTCTCTGTATTTTGAGAATGGAATAAATCGACAGTTCATCTAATAGCAAATGACATAGTACTCGTAACTGGCATCAAGATAATATATACTGTGCTGTTGATTATATTATGGCACTTTTAAAGGCAGAAGCACTATAGAGAGGATCAGCAATGTATATCCTTAATCTGTCAAACGAAGCAAAATATACTCTCTAATATTTAATTTCAATACTTTAATCACGTACTTAATACCTAATTACATTTACACTTCAATTTATTACACATCATATTTTTACAACAACTTATTCCTAGTTATAAAACTGTTATATTTACAGATTAATGAAATCTGATTGTTACAAGAAATTTTATCTGTCTTAATTTCGAGACTCGCTGTTAGAGAACTTTTTTATCGAAGCCTAGATTGGAATTTTCCTACGAAAACAAACACATAAAAATCTATTGACATATACCATAACCATAATAATAAATTAACGTCGTACTGCACGGGATGGGTTTCTTGACCTAGAAGGAGGATCTTAGCCTACTGTTATACCACACTGGCTGAATAGTTCGGCATAAGGTTGTACTTCAAATTTTCATTATCTTACAGTATTCTCCTTAGTGTATTATATTTTAATTACTTAGTCAATTATTATATTATTAGTTAGATCAAATGAAGACAATGAAATAATGTTATGTTTTGTCATCACTACGTACTACTGTTTCAAACATTCCTAGCATTTGCCCCAGATTGGATAATTTATTTTTCCTCTATATTTTTTCACTACTGTAGTATTGTAGCAATCTATTTTAAAAATATTGTTAATAAAAGCTTCTTTTGGTGTGACATAACTAGTCTGATAGGAGGGAAAGGGATTGTTAGTAATAGATACTGAGAATCCCATTGCTAGCAATATACCCAACCAGGTCGATCTCCTCGCGGTTCCCCATGGAAACTATCATGGTTAATTCCTGATGAATTCATTATGATAGGCTAACGTATCCCGTTAGCGCAGGTGGGATTACCATTCCATTTTCACCCAATAAAAAAAAAAACAAAAACTAACTAGTCAGTTAAATGTTACTGTATACAGAAGATGTCTATTGACACTTCCAACATTTATTTCCCGATTTTAAATATAATTTTTAGTTCAAGATCATTATATCTTCTAAGTCGGATGAATTGCACTCTTCATATGCCACCAAGTTGTGTTGCTAGTTTAGTTACGTACTCCAATAACTTTTCACGGTATCTTTTACTGAAAGAAATGGATCTAAAAATCAACACTATAAATCAGGAAGTCTCCTAGAATTGATTTTTCAGATCCATACGTATGTATTTGTTACTAATGAAGTATGAAGTCCAATTTTCACGGTACATTATTTTCAGCGTAAACCATGAAAATCAATTTTGGATCAATTGATTACAAATAAAATTTCAAAACATTAAATTTATCTTTCTATATAAACCGTGTGGTCCCAAGATAGAATGGGCCACCCCTTCCTTTCCCGTTGGTGCCGTAAGAGCCGATTAAGGGGATTTAATTATAGAGGGATAGGCAGCAGCGTCCCTGTTAAACATCACCAAAGTCTAACTGCGGTTACCAACCCGCCTGCCAAACGTGGTAACTGCTGGAACTCAGTGGTTGAGGGATGGGCAGAAGCGTCCCACTTAAAACATCATCTAAATCTAACTGCGGTTGTCAACCTGCCTGCCAAGCGTGGCAACTGCTGGTCCTCCTCCAAGACGTATGTTCAGCAATGAACAGTTAATGGCTGATATGATATGATGATACATCTTCCGTTAAAGAATATGACGACAGTAATACCTATATCGAAATTAGTCGTGTGAAAAAGTAGCTAAGCGGAGAAACAGAAACGCGGAATGTGATTTTATTACTACGAGTACTTTTTTTTTTTTGATGGGTGAAAATGAAATGGTAACCCCGCCTGCGCTAACGGAATACGCTGGCGGAGCACCAGTGAAGGGTGATAGATGAGAATGAAAACAGGCCAGTTAGCCCATCATGATGAATTCATCAGGAATTAACCATGATAGTTTCCAGGGGGAACCGCGAGGAGGTGGACCTGGTTGGGTATATTGCTAGCAATGGGATTCTCAGTCTCCATTACTAACAACCCCTTTCCCCCCAACTACGAGTACTTGAAGATTGCATTGATAATTATGAGCAATTTATATTTACACTATTGATATTTATTTATATTCTTCAATTAGATAGATGGATAAATAGATATGTAATTTATTTGCATTACTTACAGTACACAAACAACAACAGACATACACAGTAAAAAGAGATAAATGGATGCATAGCATATACAAAAAAAAGCAAAATATAAAAAACAAGTAATAATTTTTTTTTTCATGGTTATGCCATAGTAACACAAAATAGTCACAACTCACTTTATTGCTTAGCCCTTAAAAGAGGAAAACACCTATATTACATATATATATATATATATATATATATATATATATATATATATATATATATATATATATATATATATATATATATATAATAATTATGTATGTATATTTTAACGATAAACTAGACTTTTTGACGGATGCTATACTCTCCGAATTCTCAAATGATGGGCTTTCTAACGAGCAATATTTAATTTTTATTTGTATAAATTGTACAGTTCAATAAATATGTTCTAGTGAGATATATTTATATCTCCAACATCGCATCTCTATCTCATCACACTTCCTCGATAGCGCGGTCGCCTTCTATACACCAGGCGGTTCCACTGTCAGCACGCTCGAACACCTCTACAGCAGCTCGGCCTACCGCACTAGGGTCCTGCCAGACAACCGTTTTCAAAAACTTATCATACTCTTGTTGCACTTGTTCCTGTTCAGCTGTAGCAGTAACTATTTTTGTTCGTGTGTATCCCGGACAGATGGCGACAACACGTACACCCGATTTGGCGTAATGATACTCTAGTCCGAGAGTTTTCGTGAATCCTAGGACGGCAAATTTGGACGCCCTATAAACAGCACAGAAAGGATCAATCCGATAACTGTAAATAGACCCCGTGTTTAATATTGTACCCCCGATTCCACCTTTGTCCTTTCTCATATGCTCCCAAAACTTCAGGGTCCACTCAATGACAGCTGTCGCGTTGACTGCCATGCATTTCTTGGGGTTGTCCTCGCAAAATACTCCAGCATTATTGACCAAAATATCCACTGTTTTATATCTATCGAAGATGAGTTTAGAGACTGCTTCCAAGTCTGTGGTAATGTCGCATTTAATAAAAACAGCTTTGTTCTCACCGTACGCCGAGTTAAGGGTATTTACTATTTCTGCACCAACTTTTTCATTGACATCGAGCAAGATTACTTGTTTAACACCTTTATTGAGGAATGCTTTAGTTATCTCAAGCCCTATCCCTTGTACTCCTCCGGTGATCACCGCTAACTTATTGTTCAGATTTCGTGCCATATTCACTCTTGTACTGCTCAAAACTTATTGTACAGATTGAAATATCTTATTTATGAAATTATCTTTATAAGGTTCCGTTAATAAAACTTTAGTTATCGTAGTATACAAACATAAAGGGTTCCGTAATTTTATAATAGTAGATTTTGTTTGAAATAACACGCACATAATTATTATCATATCATTCGTTAATTATTAACTGTTAACATAGGCCTCCTTCGACTATGGTGACATAGAGGAACAGTCAGCAGCCTCCTACATGCACTCCTCCATATAATCAGGTGAACCTATTTTACATGTACGGGGTCTCTACTTGAAATAATTTCTTTGTCAGTTATCAGTTTTGGAGAAATGTAGCGCCCTATTGTTACTTCAGCTTACTTTTGATTCAGGCTTGTTAATATTAATTTATAAAATTAACTTACTCGTATTTATTCTCGACTTAAATAATATTTTTTTTTAGACTCATTGTAAACAAATGTCTTAAACCAATAATATTAACTAGTTTTAACAATTGTGTAATATAATCGATTTTAGTACATTTGCACTATATAAAACAGTACATGCTTATTATTCTTTACTGACTCATATCCAAACCACATACCTGTTTGCGACGACGTAAATTTCACTTTTTTGTTATTTTTAATCCAATTTAAGCTTTTATTATTATGCTGTAAAGAATAAATAAATTAAAATAGTTTATAAAAAATACCTAAATTATTATTAACAAATTAAATGCCCTACTAATTCTCTGTAACGGAAAATATCGATAACAAACCAAATTAAGAGTGACAGCGGTATGCTAATACTAAATAGAGGTATGCGAAATGTAAACATGTTGATTGTTATGTTCACCAAAACGACAAAAGTAGACAAAAAGCATCTGATTACCCCATTAGGGATAATAGTCGTAAGCACATTTATTATTTAAATGTAAATTAATTCAGAGATGGAACCCTAAAAATAACAACACTAATTCAAGATAAGTGTCAAAGTTATCAGTGCAGATAACCTACCGGTAACATCGCGTGTTTTCGTCAGTATTAAAATTTATTATCAATATTAAAAATTCTTACGTCGATTGATTTTCTTACTGTTTCTTTATTTTACTTCTTGTTAGGATAAAAAATTTTGAGAAAACCATTCTCGTAAGTACTTGCTTCCTATAGACGTATAAGGAACCGCTGTGATACATATTTGTAGATGTAAAATATTTGGCTGTATGATAAATAAAACAGTCAACTGTCAAATTGACTATCAAAATTAACAAAGATGCCCATGAGTGGCCTAGAATGAACACGCCATACATTAGAGAGTTCAAACGGTATCATATAATTCGCTCGACTGATTATAATAAAAGATACACCGGTTTTAAGGTAGGGAATTAGTTCATCATGCCTCAACGGATTGAACATACGAATACGAGTATGGTACATTTCACAGACAAACAAATATCAATTCTATGAATGATTGATTTGGGTATTTTTTAGTTACTAAAATATTAATGGATAAACATTTGGTATATACCTGAAAATAAAAGATTTATTATTATTATTTATTTTTATTTATTATTCAACGTATAGTTGGCTTTATTGCTACGAGTACGGGTTGGATGCCAAGTATCTCGTAGAATTTACAGATAATTAATTTTGATTACATGTTAAGAACGTCTGAACAATAGAATAAGTGTTTAGTATAATTGATTTTTGTAGTTCAATGGATATTGTAGCACGGAAGGTCAAGAGTTCTGAGTGATAAGTGTAGCTGATTTGGGATTATTCCTGTAGTAGATAGTACTATTAGGACTATGGTTGCGGATTGTCGGCGCCACATGCGGGTTATTTCGCATCATTATAGTCATTTGTAATATCATCATTTATAATAATAATAATATAATAATTGTAATGTCCTTACTAATATTATAAATGTGAAAGTGAGTTTGTTTATTACCTCTTGACATCTTACCAATCACTATCAAATTTTGAATACGAGTATTGTATTATATATGGGATGAAGAAAGGTATAGAATACCTTTTATCGCGATCAATGAACAGATCTCGATCACGCGGACGAAGTCACAGATAAAAGCTAATTTGTAATATATCTGAAAACAAAATTAGAATTAAAATCAGTGATTAAACAGTATATCATGTCAGATAAAAAATATCAATCATATTTAATGTGCGATATGATTTCTTCAGGGTAATTAAGCATCAGTTGGTGTTATTGGATACAAATAGAAGTACAAGTATTACATATGGTATAAGTAATTTATACAGTAACACAAATTTAATTAAAATAAATCCTATTTTATACCTAGCAATGTCTCGGGATTTAAGTAATAAGACAGCGGTGATCACAGGAGGAGCACAAGGAATAGGGCTCGCGATTGCTACATCATTCCTTAAGAAAGGTGCTAAGATAGTGATCCTACTTGATCTTGAAGAAAAAACTGGAGTCGAAGCAGCCAACACCCTCAACTCCGAGTATGGCGAGAATAAAGCGGTGTTCATCAAATGCGATGTCACTGCAGATTTGGAAGCAGTTTCGAAGCTCATCTTCGATACATATAAAACAGTAGATATTTTGGTGAATAACGCTGGAGTGGTTTGCGAGCATGACCCCAGGAAATGCATTGCCGTCAACACGACAGCTGTCATAGAGTGGACCTTGAAGTTTTGGGAGCACATGAGGAAAGATAAAGGTGGAATTGGAGGTACAATTTTGAATACGGCGTCAATTTACAGTTACAGAATAGATCCCTTCTGTCCCATTTATAAAGCATCCAAATTTGCTGTTCTGGGATTCACTAAGAGTCTCGGGCTTGATTATCATTACGACAAAACCGGTATACGCATTGTGGCCATTTGTCCTGGATTCACAATGACAAAAATAGTTACCGCTAAAGGTAAAGATGAGCAATTGCAACGAGACTTTGAAGCGTTCGTGAGAACAAATATTTGGCAAAACGCTGATGTGGTGGGTCTAGCGGCAGTGCAGGTGTTTGAATCCGCTGATAGTGGTACTGCGTGGGCAGTAGAAGGTGGCGTTTTGGAGAAAGTGTGATAAGTATTTGTTATTGATTAATTGTGTGTATTTTTTTTATCTTCAAACATTTTTCTTACACTTGTATATTTAAACTTGTATATTTTAGTTATTTCCATAGCATAATGTCTTACGGCATACTGCTGTGGGGTAAAGCAGCCGATATAAATACTATATTTGTTTTACAAAAGAGAGCCATACGTTCTATTTATGGTATGGGTTCAAGAGAGTCATTACGTCAGTGCTTTAAAGACTCAAATATCCTCACAGTTACTTCATAATACATTTATGAAAATATTATGTATACACGGAAGAACTTAGAGAGTTTTAAAAAACTCAAAGACTGTACAAGTAGAAACTTACGCAATATAAATAAGCTTATTTTACCTAAATGCCGTCTGCACAAAATAAGTAATTCATTCTATGGTAATTGCATAAGATTTTATAAAAAACTGCCGGAATCTGCATTAAATCTGACAGAGAGGCAATTCAAATCTTATATTAAACAATTTTTATGTAAGAAAGCCTATTACAGGATAGACGAATTCATAGATGACAACATATCAAGTAAATAATTAGTTTATTAGCATACAACGTTATAATTTTATTTTCTCATTGCTTTCTTGATTTAATTGATTAATTTTAGAAATATGAAATCGTAGCGGTTTTTTGTATTAATTGCCGCATGCATTCTTATGTAAAATGTGAATACTATAACTATCAGATGGCAATTGTGAGTAGCTTTGACGTGGTCTAGTGTTTTGAGTAGTCATGCTCACTAAAATGTCCAGACTTGTGGCGGCGTGGTGGGCCGGGTCATTGGGCTCCCTAAAATATGGTCGAGCGCAGTGATGGCTGGCTCATCCGTCATACTCGTGAACGGGTGCTGCTTGTAGGGACTGGTCTGCTCTAAACTATGACTGATTTCCTCTTATTAATTGTTTAACCAGTTGGTTATGTATTCAATATTTTTTCTTTTTGAGTATTTAATTGAATTAGTGCTAATTGGTGGTTTGTATTCACACAATTAAACTTAAAAATGTAAAGTAATAATAAAATTATTTAAAAGAGCAACACGCAAGTTTCTTCTCGTTCTTCTTGTGATGAGACAGCTTTCCGAACGAGCGGTAGATTAAAAAAAATGTAATGACTTTTCAAAAGTGCTTCAATGTAAGTTTATTTGAATAAATGATTTCTATTCTATTCTATTCTATTCTATTCTTAAAAGGTGTTAAAATTTTATTATCTCTTACAATAAATTTATATCTATTTATCTGCATGCTAGTTACATTACGTACCCTAAGCACAGAGAACCAACTGTCATAGGCTTTTCAATACAAATATTGAATCTTCAGTTGGGTACCGGAAGTAGCATACGATGAAAATAAATAAAAATGTGGTTTAGTTGAATTGAATATGTACTTGTAGATTAATGTATAATAGTTTAAAAAAAATAATATTCTGATATATTTTTTTTTACAGTTAGTAATGATTATAAATAATTGAATAATTAGATTTAACTAATCAATCGTAGGGAATTTGAATATTTGTCCGTATATATTACATACAATCCTTTGTCCATTTCTCATAGCAATTTCCATAAATCTAGGCGACCATATTTTATTTAGTCATAAGGCGGCCCGTATGAATTTTTTTTTACTTTATAATATCAAAAATAAATCTATATGGACTAGGACCGGTGGATTTATTGACCGTTACCGCTGCACAAGTTCCGCTTACGTAACCGCGCTACTTTCCAATGCGCGTGTATCTGACACAGTGCCTTCCTCTCGCTGTTACAATGCTATTGTAAATAATTAGCCCACTCTGAAGTTTCACTGTTGTGAGATAATTTTACAATAATTCCAACATTATATATTACTGGCTGTATCTCCTTGTGACTTAGCCAGCTTAATTTTTAGTCTATGATTGAGTAAACAAATAACACTCTTTGCCATATCTGTCTAGTGATAGATAGATAATGTACCTATTTTTAAATGCATCATGATTTAAGTATTCATGTTACTCGACTCGCTGAATCTATAAATCCGATTGGAACATTTTTAAACAATTAATAAGTGCGATAGTGATAAAGAATAATGATTTATTTATATATCAATAGATAGTAATTTACCTATCAAAATGTTCACTGAAAAACACGAATCAAATTATGAGACACAACAATTGCTTCAAAATAAATTTCGAAACAGCTGCTCGTATGTCCAAAATTGTTTTAGCCAATTTGAGGCATTGTGTGAACAGAATAACCATTGTCCTTGCTTAGCTCATTAAACTATAAACAAGGGTATTATCATAAATCAATCTTGGACGACAACCACATTTGTGAGCTGAATAGGTATTTTGATTTAGCATCCATTATATGACTGCAATTTTATAAATACTTATAGATAAACTTATTGCTTTGTCTTCGTAAATCAGTAAGTATATAAAGTATCCTGTGTTCTAAGTTAGTATATAACCTACCTATGTACCAAATTTCATTCAAACCCTTTCAGTAATTTTTGAGTGATCGATCCATCCACACTTACAAACTTGCGGATCTATAATATTAATAAAATGATGAAAACAGTAAACTACAAACTGACGGTTTATAACAATAAGTGGTAACTGATAAAAGACACCGTCATCACAGAATACGCTATGCAACCCATCACAGCACCCTCAACCGTTACCACTCATACAGATTAAAGTGTTCTTACAAAATATACTTCGCATATAGGTCTATACAACATTTAATATTAAAAGATTCTATTATTTGGGCTTTACTTTATAATCAGTTAAATTTAATAAAAATATCTATCCAAAAATTCTAAATACATATCTACTTATTACATGGCTGCTCAAAAAAGGAGTATAATATTTTGAGAGTTCATGTATATATGTGTTTATTTATTCCATCATAACTTTTAAATGGCTGATCAGTTCCTGAGGGCACTTGATATTTTTAAAACAGTTCGCTTTTTGGTAAGGCAGTCGTGTTATTTTTTTTTTTTATTTTCTACACAAAATGTTTCTATCTCCAATATTCATCTTCTATTGGAGATAATAGAGAATCCTCAACAATGACCGAACATAGTATAAGACAGAAAGTGACGATGTTCATGAAAAAGAGAACAGTGAAAGCTGAGTTGTTTGGTACAATATAAAATAGACAGCGAAAGAAATCTAGATACATTTAAAAAAATACATGATATTCTTTTATCGCGTTCGCATGGCTAAAATGTATTTAATAATCGGGATAAACAGTAGCCTAAATCCTTCTCTATGCCATGTAGTACGTGTATACTAAATTTTATAGTAATTGGTTAACGGCTTAATAGACAAACTCACTTTTAAATTTATAATATGTCTAAGAATAGGTATAGGTACATATCTACTGTCTTACACTGTTCAAAATTTACATTGTATGACTTTGGTCATAGATTCGAATCCGATTCTTTTAACGGTCTCGACTGAGGATAATTAATATACTTGTATAAAAAATAGAGAATAAAATTTTTATATATTCTTCAGTAAATTATTTAAAAATGTTATTTATGTTTAACTTTTATGCGTAATTCCTCTTTGAAAGCAGCACCTATACAAATTTTAAACTGTTCATTTTGGCGAAATTATAATTTTTATATTATAAAAAATTGGGTCCCACAAAAATCCGACTGCAAATGTGACAAAACCCGTTATTTTGATTTAATAATTAAACTACTGAACTGATTTTAATAAAATTTCTATAGAACTAATCGGAAAGTATATCCTTTCAGATAAAAAAACAATTTCCAAACCGGTTTAGAACTAAAGGTGTTATAAGGTAACAAATATAAAAAAAAAAAAACATACAAACGAATTTAGAACTTTCTCCTTTTTGAAGTCAACTGTAGAAAGAGAGATATTTTGGACTATAAAGAGAAATATACTATATATTTGTATATAGAGAGAATAACTTATGTACCATGGCGCACATACAGATATGTAGCAATAAATAGATAGTACAAAAAAAAGTTGTCTTAAAAAATTAAAAAGAAATATATATAAAATGGACTTTAACAAGTGAGTTTTTGTATTCGATCGCCCGCAGCTCACATTTACGCCAAACAACATCCGTGTAGCGTATCACCTAAGTTATTCCGTTAACATACACATAGGCACATTAGTCTTTGTCTGTTAATTTGTTTAACAAAACCATTTGTTATCGCTGTACATTTTTGTCATTTTTGATTGTAATGAACGAATGAACGGTGAATAACATTTCATCGACATAATACAAAACGTGCGTGAACAAAATGGCAGTCGGAGATTGATGTCTAATATGGAAGGTTGTAAAACTTCTGGTAATAATTTTGGTAGTCAATCTTTAATTGTTGGTAGTCATACATGTACTAATGGTAGCGGATTTAAACAAAAAACTCAAATCATGTAACAAAATATACAGTCTGACTCATAACGTCCTCCTTTTTGAAGTCGGTTAAAAACTCTTAGCTCCTTCAAAATAACATTCAATAACTAAAGTACATATAAAATTCCTCTGTCCACAATAGTACCCACTTTGGTTTCACAAAGAAGTTATCCAAATACGTAGAACTAAGGTCAACCATCTTGGCAAATACCAACGTGACAATGCGCCACGCTCTGTGAATGTCAATTAATTAAATAATGATTCAATGACTTAGTCAGTCATGATTCATTTATTAGACACTTTCGAATAAAATTAGCTTATAAGAATCCTATAATATATTCACTCGAATCTAACGATGTTTCTTGTAATTCAAGTGACTATTTGTTAACTTTGAAAGTCAATAAAAAACAAAAAGTAATTTTCTAATTGCAAATTGATGTCAATATTCCTAAATTACTAGTACCGTATTCGAGTATTCTGATACTTCCCTATGGTTGACTGGGAGAGAATGCTTAAGCACTAAGGCCGCCATGTACACATATATGTACTAATGAATAAATAAATAAATGAATATCATATTTTAATAATTATTGTGCGACTGATAATAATAATTTTAGAAATAACACAATTGAGGAAGTTAATAACTTTTTTTATAACATCGAGAGTAAATGAGCATACAGCTCACTTGATGGTAAGTAATTACTACCACCCATCGGCACCCGCAACATCAAAGCAATTGCAGGTGTGTTGCCAGACTTTTATAAATATGTTCCTTTCTTGAAAGTTTCAATATTGTATCCATTCGAAAATACTGATGCTTGTAATTAGTTCTATAGTTTGTACTGTGTATAATGTTGGAAGAAAGAATATTGGGTAGAGAAAAGTGAAATAATGTGCTCCCTGTGTGTAAGTAAGTATGTGTGTAAGTGTGGTATGAGTAATATTATTTAAATAATTTAAAGGTAGTAAGTATTTTAAGTAAAAGTATTTAGTAAAGTTGTATTTTTATTATATTTCATTTTTTAATAGAGAATTGCCTCTCATCCTATTTAAAGGATATATATTAAGACAGTTTATTATATAGGGATAGAAAGAATCTATTTTTTTTTTTGATGGGTCTTTTTTTGACATTATTAAAATGGGGTGTGTGTGTGGCTTTTTTATAATACTATTTATAAAAATTTGTCGAACAGTTAAGACTGCACATGATCGATATGGTAACCCCGCCTGCGCTCAAGCTTAATTAATGGGATACGCTGATAATATTGCGGAGCACCAGCTTAATGAAGGCAATATATCTTAATTTTTTAAATTCTATATGACATTTAAAATAGATGAGAATGAAAACAGGCCTGTTAGCCCATCATGATGAATTCATCAGGAATTAACCATGATAGTTTCCAGGGGGAACCGCGGGGAGGTCGACCTGGTTGGGTATATTGCTAGCAATGGGATTCTCAGTCTCCATTACTAACAATCCCTTTCCCCCCGGGATAGAATGTTAGCTCGTGGTGGTTGTATGGTAATGAAGGATTTTGTTATTGCAAAGTTGATTGACACTTTGTCAAAGCTTGAGGAAAACATGATTCTGCAATGAAAGAACAAATGTACTTCCATTTGCACATTGTAAATGATTAATAACCAGTATAATGAATATAAGAATTTCTAATAATGAATTTCCGCGCTACTTATATTTAGTGCGTGTCTTACCGTTGTTCTATCTCATAGTTAGCTTATTCAATACCCGTGAAGCAGTAATGCACGCATTATGTTTCTGAAGAGATAGCCAGTGCAATCTCTGACACAAGAGGTACAACAAATGTTTTTTATGTACTACTTATTATAGCATAAAATTTAAACATGAACTGTGCCATAGACATTACGTATTACAGAATATACTCTCCAAGATATCAGCATTTCTATTTCTAGAGACTGAGGTGTTATTTGCCGTCCAAGCATATTCATTGCCAAACGTCATACTTAAAATTGCGCTGTAAAGCAGTTGTGTTTGCGTAGCTGTGTTCCAGTTTGAAGAGCGGGATATGACAATGCAATTATAGGGTACAAAGGCGTAACATCGTAATTCTCTAAATAGGCAACGTACCACACCTACAACCAGAGGTATCACTATACATGTCTGTAGGCGACCGTTACCACATTCTATCAGGTAGAATGTTTGCCATTCTATGTGTCATAAAAAATCTATCACTTGATAACTTGGAATACAAGTGAGATAGAGTGAATAATGCACTACATGCATTTTATACGATCATCTTTTCCATTAA